AGCCTACACATTCTTAGAGGAACTAGCTGAGAATGCCCAAAATTGGAATTCGAATACTGATGAATTTTCTAGGAATGACCAACCCAATAAAACATCTTCTTGGTATGAGATCAAACCTGAAAATGAATTAAAATCTGTGATGCACAGTCTAACTGAAGGAGTAAAAGACTTGACCAAAAAATTTGACGCTTTTGCACTCATGTCCATAAATGCGCAATGCAATATGTGTTCTAGTTCATCTCATCCTATTGAAGCATGTTCTGTCTATTCTACTTTTGAACCTTCAGATGTGATGCGACCGAGCGTGTGCACAAAATAATACACAATACTTTAGATTTAGAAATAATGTCAAGTGGGCATTATATTCTATAATTTATAAACCACTAAACACTTATACTATGGAGTATGAAGTGAGCAGGGATCGTCCTAAGAGATCTAAACAATTATAGGTTTTTAGAATTGAATTCTACCTTAGTGCTTATGTGATTGCTGAAAAGGGTTTTGTTTGTGATTAGAACTAATTTAACTTAAGTGACTGCAATAAAATAATGGAGTTTAAAAGATTGGAAAGAGACTTGTAGGATTCACCACTAAGCACAATTCATAACTCACTAACTTTCACTAATTGGGGAAATAATTAAATGTAATTCTAATGTAGCTAACATTTGCAAAGAAAAGTATGAATCATCAATTTTAACCTTGAATTACCTACTTAATGACAATTAAACTAGATGTAGTATAATTCATCAATCCAAAGCATGACTCATCAATTCAAGTTATAGTTTTAACATACATCAATCAAGAAGGTAATGCAATTGTGACAGAGTATGGAATTCAAACACAAGTATGGATGGTCTACTTACCTAATAATTAAATTACAATTAAACTAATTAAACATGAACTTAAACAATTAATCAGACAATGAATTAACCTAATTGTGTAGTACCATCCATTAAGTAAAAATAATTTTCATCAAATTGAAGCATAACTACAACTAATTATCACCATGCATAGACATCACAAGATTCAATTCACAGAGAAATCAAACGTGAAGGTTGATTAACAAGCAAAAACACATAAGACAACATGAATTTAACATTGATAACCAATTGGAAGAATTTATTCAATAACATTCAAAGTCTATACAAGAATTACATAATTTACATCCCCAAAATAGTAAAAAGAGAGAGAAGTTAGGTTACATGATTAGGGTTTATCCAACCCTAAGTAGAAGAATCAGCCACTCCTGGTTGATGGAGTTGAAGACAGAACAATCTCTATCATTGGATTCATCATCTCTAAGCTTTTTCTTCCAAACCCTAGCCCGTTCTTCTGTTTCTCCTCTTTCACGTTTTCCAGAGAGAATATTAATATCTCAATACAGAAAATAAAAATTAATAATAAAATAAATAAAAACTCCTAAAATAATGAAAAACTAAAACTAAAAAATAATAGGCTTGTTTTCCTTAAGTCCAAAACCCTATTGGAGCGCATATGTTATAAAAATAAGCCCAAAAGACCAAATCTCGTAACCATTAAAACAGGTCAAACCCGTAACTTAAATTGCTGCCACAAGCTTGGCGTCCGGACGCGGAGGATGGCGTTTGGACGCAGTGTGCTGGAGACTCATGTCCGGACGCAATGCATTCTTGCTGCATTTTTCTGCTATCTTCTGGAATTTTGCTCTGATGCTTTAGCTTGACTCCAAAAATGCGGTAATGGACCGATTTAAACCCATTTGAACTTTATTGCCCTGAAATACACATAAACATAAATTAAGACTAAAACATAAAAATAAGATAAATGCAAAGACTAAAATACCCTAACTTAGGTGCTGAAATGTGCAATATTTAAACACTTATTAAGATGCTCAAGTGTGTGCCTTTAATACCTATAGGAGACCGACGGCTAATACCTTTAGCCAAACATACCATCTTGATACTAGAAACCATCCTAATTTTTCTTGGCGACAAAATTTGCCTCTCTAAAACTTAGGTGGTCAACTCGGTTTCCAAGGTAATTCCAATAGGCAACCTCAATCTCAAGGTTTGCCCGTTCCTCAAAGTTAGTTCCCACCAAACACCCAGTTGAGTAACAATCGTGATCTCGCACTTGATCCCATGAACAATTATATTCGTCCTATCCCACAGAACCAACATGTTTCCAACTATAAGAACACTCTGAAGATGCTTGCCCTTAATCTCGACCAATCAAATAAGCAATCTAATCAGAGAATTCAAATGCTAAAAAGTCACTTTGACCTTTTAACTCAGAACCAACTGCAATTCCAACAGTCAATATAAAATCAGTTGCGTTAACTTACTTCAGTTTTGTCTGAACGACATAGAGGTACCTTGCCTAGCCAACCTGAAATCGTCCCTCAAACCAAAGGGGTTCATCACATTGAAACTTCCTCTTCCACTGACCAATCAAATGGCCATGTGAATTCCATCATCACGGTTAGGTCAGGAAACAAATTGATAATAAGGTTGAGCTACCCACCCAACATGAACCTGAACCATCAGAGTCTCGTCCATCAAACCTTCCAAAAGCTAAAAATGATCAAGATTCTCAAATGATAATCCTGCTCTTCCGCCATATGTTCCACCCACCCCTTTCCCTTCCCGACTGGTCAACAATAAAAAGGATTTGCAATACAGTGAGATTTCAGAAAATTTTCCAAATCTTCAGATTAATATTCCAATTTTCACTGCAATTAAACAAATTCCTTCTTATGCAAAGTTCATCAAAGACTTAGTTAAGAGGAAAATCAACATCCCGAAGGAAGTCTTCATCGTCAACATTGTTCCCCATTCTTACAAAACCAAGCTGTGGTAAAAAAATAAAGACCCTGTTAGTCTGATTATCACTTGTAGGATTGGTGAAAATTTTACTGGCCAGGCCCTATTGGATTTAGGTGCTAGTGTGAACTTGTTACCTTATTCTGTGTACCAAGAGTTAGGATTAAACAATTTGAGGAAAACCGATGTTAGAATCCAATTAGCTAATTGATCAATTAAGATTCCAATTTAATTGAGGATGTGATTGTCAAAGTGGCCGATTTTTATTATCCTGTCGACTTCATTGTTCTAGACACCCAACCTACTTAAGGTAAATAGATTCCCATCACTATTCTTAGCTACCGCCAATGCATTGATCAATTGTCAAAATGGGAACATGACCCTAACCTTTGGAAATATGAAAATGGAATTGAATGTGTTTAGTTTGATGAAACAACCCCCCGACTTAGATTCTATTGAAGAAGTTTGTCTCGTTGAGTCGTTGACCGTTAAAACCTTTGAGCAATTATACCCCGAGGATCCACTCCACCAGTGTTTAACACATTTTGGTGCTGATTTTGATGAGGATAATTATATTGGTGAGGTCAATGCCTTGTTAGATTCCACTCCAATCTTTGGCACACCCAAGTACTGACTCCACTTTGAAACATTGTCTTCACCAAATAACCCTAAATCTGAAACAGTGAAAGAGTCCCCTAAGATTGAATTAAAGCCTCTCCTTGAGACTTTAAAATTCTCTTACCTGGGTGAATTTGATACTTTTCCTGTGGTGATAGCCTCTAACCTAACCAACAACCAAGAAACCCAGCTACTTGAGGTTTTTAGGGCTAATAAAGAAGCAATAGGTTGGTCTATTAATGATATCAAAGGCATTAGTCCTTTAGTGGTGCAATATCGTATTCATTTGGAGAACGATGCTAAAACCTATAGGCAACCCCAAACGAGACTGAATCCTAACTTGAAGGAAGTTGTCTGTACTGAAGTTATCAAACTCCTTGATTCTGGTATAATATCTAATCTCTAATAGCCAGTGGGTAAGTCCAGTCTAAGTAGTTCCTAAGAAGTCCGGCATCATTGTTATTCCCAATGATCGCAATGAGTTAGTTCCTACCCGTGTCTAAACAGGATGGCGAGTTTGCATCGACTATCGAAAACTCAATAGTGTAACTAGGAAGGATCATTTTCCTATACCATTTATTAACCAAATATTAGAAAAATTGGCCGGTCATTCTATTTCTTCCTAAATGGTTATTCTGGCTATAGTCAAATCCCTGTCCACCTTGATGACCAACACAAGACAACTTTCACCTGCCCATTTGGTACATTTGTTTATCATTGTATACCATTTGGCTTGTGCAATGCACCCGCTACATTCCAGCGGTGCATGATGAGTATCTTTAGTGACATGGTCGATAAGTTTCTAGAAATTTTCGTGGATGATTTCTCTGTCTTTGGCTTATCATTTGAAAAATGTCTGTACCATATTACTTTCGTACTTCTGCGTTATCGTGATACTAACCTCATTCTTAATTAGGAAAAATGTCATTTCATGGTCCAAAAAGGAATTGTCCTTGGTCATACCATTTCTAGTGCCAGAATGGAGGTAGATAAAGCAAAAATTGATTTTATCTCTAATTTACCCATTTCCAAAACTGTCGGCGACATTAGAGCTTTCCTAGGTCATTTTGATTTCTATAGGCGCTTCATCAAAGACTTTAGTGACCTTTGACCCATCTTCTAGCTAAGGATGCCCCATTCAAAATCGGTATGATTCAGGGGACTAAGTTCCATACCTCTATAGTCAAATACTCCCCTCCGGACATACAGACTCTTAACGCTAGGGCTCAGGTTTACATCCGACTCGAGGAAAATGTAGCCAACAGAGCATAATACGCCACCCTCGTTACGGTAGAAAACAAGTCTCGGGAAAAAGCCTCAAGTTCAAAAAATCAAAGAAGCCAGCATGCCTCGGTACCAGCAGTTCAACTACCTGAGAAGAGGTAGAGGACCGAAGAAAGGCTAACCCCTCTTCATATGATGTTAGCCCGATTATTCCAGGAGAACAAAGTAAGATTCACAGTCCCTCAACCAATGTGATAACCTTCAGAACAAAGGGACAAAAACAAACACTGTGACTACCATAGGGATTATGGGCATACCACTAATGATTGTAGGTCCCTTTAGTGACAGGTGGAAATCATGATAGCCAAAGGAGACCTAGCAGACTATTTCGGGCCGAAGAAGCAGACAAGGCTGATGGAGGTAAATCCTCGAAAATTAGAAGACAATCAGGTAAAGGTCATTCACGCGATACATGGAAAGTCAGAGAAGGATCAAGAGTCAGAAGAGGTGTATCGCTCCAGATTGCGAGCAGTCCACAAGCTGAGGAAATTATCCTCGGTTAACACCATCACCTCGGGTAGTATAAGGATCGGCTTCGGAGATGAAAACCTGTCGAAGGTACAGCTTCCCCACGAAGACCCACTCGTCATTAGCTTTCTAGTAGCAAACTACATGATTAGAAGAGTCCTGGTAGACCCTGGCAACATCACAAATATTATAACTAAGGCAGTCTTTGAGCAATTAAAGATTCTATTATCCTTAATTAAAGCCACTTCCAGCCCTTTGATGGGGTTCGATGGAATAAAAGTAGATCTCATTGGTATAGTAGATTTGTCAGTCATCACTGCGAAGAGGACACTGAAGGAAAACTTCGTTCTACCAAAAATTCACCCTTCTTACAATCTCATCATGGGGAGAGGGTGGATTCACCAAATGAATGGAGTACCATTTACTCTATAGCAGGTGATGCGATATTTGTCTCCAGATGGAAAAGAAGTCATTAATCTTTGGGGAGATTAAGCTGCTGCAACTAAATGCTATGTGTTGACATTGAAAGGAGCAAAGAAAGAAACTACAATACCTAGATCGGATGCATCTTCTGAAGGAACTACCAAATAACAATTACAGAACCTTCTGCCTAAGTATTTAGAAGCAGAGGCAGAAGCAGCAAAAACCACCGAAGAATCTCTTGAGGCTGTCGAAATTATCCTTGGCAATCTACAGAAAGTCAGTTATATGGGTTCCTCCCACTCAACAAAAAAGAGGGAGGTGTTGGTTGATGTCATCTGAAGAAATACAGATACATTCGTATGGATCCATTCGGACATGCTGCGGATCAACCCTTTGGTCTCATGCCATAACCTAAGAGTGGATCCCTCATTCAAACTAGTCAAACAAAAACATAGGAGGTTCGCTCTTAAAAGAAATCGAATAATTGCTGAAGAAATAAATGAGTTGCTTCAAGCGGGCTTCATCAAGGAAATACATTACCTTCAGTGGTTTTCGAATGTAGTGGTGGTCCAAAAAAAGAATGAAAAATGGAGAGTTTGTATAGATTTCACCAACCTCAATAAGGCTTGTCCCAAATGTAGTTTTTCACTACCGAAGGTAGATCAGATGGTGGACGCTACCACAGGCTATGAGGGACTCACATTCCTCGATGTATATTCCGGATACAACCAGATTCCCATGAATCTGGAGGACGAAGAAAAAAACATCATTCATCACAGAGAATGGAACTTATTGTTACAAAGTTATGCTCTTTGGACTTAAGAACGCTAGGGCTACTTACCAACGCCTCATCAATAAGATCTTTGATGAGATGCTAGGTAAAATAGTCAAAGCTTATAATGACGACATGGTTGTCAAAAGTAAAAAGAAGAAAGATCACCCCAGGCATCTCCAAAAAGTCTTCGACACTTTGAGAAAGTATAATATGAGATTGAACCCCTCTAAATATTCTTTTGCAGTTTCTTCAGGGCAATTCCTCGGCCGTATTGTCAACAAAAGAGGGATAAAAGTAAATCTAGCTCAGGCCTAGGCCCTAGTTTAGAATCAGGAGCCAAAAACTTACAAAAAAGCACAGATTCTAAACGGCAGAATAGCAGCTCTCAGCTACTTCATATCTCGGCTGTCCGTTAAGTGAAAACCTTTCTTTAATGCCATACGGTCGAAGAACAGAGACATATGGGGACCTCAGCAGCAAGAAACTTTTGCTAGACTAAAGTATTACATGACTAAACCCCCAATTTTGTCTACCCCAAAGCCTGAGGAAACCCTTACCATCCAGTCTTCTACACAAGTAAGACAATGATAGATGCCGAAACAACATATAGCAAAGTAGATAAAATCATACTAGCCTTAGTACATGCAGAGAGAAAGCTTCGGCACTACTTCGAGTCTCACAGCATTGTGGTCCTCACAAATTACCCTATGCGAACCATCATCTCCAAGCCAGATCTGTCAGGGAGAATTACCAAATAGGCAATTAAACTCAGTTATTTCGATATAACTTACGAGCTGAATGTGTCAAACAAAGGACAAGCCATGGCCGATTTCCTTCTGGAGTATGAAGACAAGCCCGATGAGCTAGAACTTTCAGAACCATAGTGGAAGCTTTATGTAGATGGTTCTTCGAACCTAACTAGTGCAGGAGCAGGGATCATCATCACAACTCCAGAAAGAACTAAGTTACAACAATCAATTTGTTTGGATTTTCCAGCCACTAACAATGAGGCCGAATATGAGGCCCTGCTAGCTGGGCTTCGATTGGCAAGCCAACTATAGGTAAAATGTCTAAAAGTTTTTAGTGACTCACAACTTATTGTGAATCAAATGACAGGAAAATATCAACCAAAAGAAGAAAGAATAAAAGCATACAAGGAGGCTGTCGAATGTGTTACACATGGATTCGATTAAATCTAATTTCACTAAATACCAAGGGAGAAGAATTTCAAAGCAGCCAAATTAGCTACAACGGCTTCATCCTCAGCAGAAGATTTGGTAAGGATTGTGCCGATCGACACCCTGAAAGAACCTAACTTGAATCCTCAGTGATTCCAGGTTCAAAGAGAGCCATGTTGGATGGATCCACTGGAGAGCTATCTCAAAAATGGAATCCTTCCTGACTAAAAAGATGAGGTTAGAAAAGTAAGGTTTGCCGTAGCCAAATACTCCATCATTAACAACCATCTATATCGAAAGTCATTATCAGGTCCATATCTGAAGTGCTTAACTCCCACGGAGGCCCTCGAGGTGTTGAAACAAATACATGGTGGTGACTGCGGCAATCACTTCGGCAGACTCGAGGCTATTTCTGGCCGTACTTGGCTAGAAACGATGAAGAATATGCCCAGAAGTCCGATAAGTGCCAACGCTATTGCCCAATAAAACACCAATCGGCTGAAGATTTACATGCAATGGCAAATCCATGGCCATTCGCTCAATGGGGAATAGATATGGTGGGTCTTCTGCCCAAAACTCTGGAGCTAAAAGAATACGTATTATTAGACATGGATTATTTCACAAAATGGGGAGAAGCAGAGGCTTATTCAAATGTGACTCACGAGTAAGTGAAAAGCTTTCTATGGAATAATATAATTTGCCGATTTGGAGTACCAAAGGTCATCACAATGGATAATGGAAAGAACCTAGACAACAGGAGCACAAGGAAGTTCTTTGTTGAGCATGGAATCAGATAGAAGTTAGCTGCGGTAAGCCATCCACAAGGGAATGGACAGGTTGAGATAACTAACCGGATTATCTTCGACTGTCTGAAGAAGAAATTAGAAAAACTCAAGTCTAAGTGGTACGAAAATCTTTCCAATGTGCTCTAGGCTTATCGAACTATTCCGCGAAGGCCAATAGGGGAAAGTCCCTTCGCAATGGCTTATGGCTCCGAGGCCGTCATTGTAATACCCCCAATTTTAAAAGAATAGTCTCGGTATTTATTTATTTGTTTTAATTGTATTGTTAATTATTTAATTGAGTATTTGACTAATTACTTATGTGTTTCATTGAATTAGGTATTTCTTCATTATTTGATTATGTGTCTATGTATTATTTGTATTTGTCTATGTGTTAATTGTTTAATTAGATTATATGCTTAAATGGTGTTTTGATTAATTGTAAATTAAATTATTTCTTTTCTTTTATTATTTTATATTATTTTTCTTTTATGGTTATGGTTAGTAGTCATGGGCCAACCAATTGGGTCCCGTGGACTACTTGGATAGGAAGTTGGATGTGTTTGGATTATAACCCATTGATAGTTGTGTATGTATATATATGATATATATTATATACATATATAAAAAGGAAAGTAATTTATTAATTACTTTTATGGTAACTTGGGTAGTAATATTTAATTTTATATATATGTTTTATATTTAAATAATAAAAATATACATAGATTTGATGCGTGTTATCTTTTAAGTTACTTTATAATATTATGGTAACTTAAGTATTATTGGATAATTCATTAATAAATAATGGAATGTGTATAATTCATTTATTTAATAAATATATACATAAATTATATACGTAACATATTTTACTTACCTTTTTAATATTTTAATATTTATTTTTTTTTAAGTTGACTTGGATTGGGAAAAGGGTTAAGATTCTTTTATTTAGCCTATAAATATATAGTTATAGGTTGTAAAAGGGGGTTAGAAATATTCACGTGATATATTCTAGAGAGAAAGAGTTAGAGAAGAAAGGAGGAAAAGGAAGGAAGGAGGAGAAAAACCCTGTAGAGAGAAGATCAAGGAATAAGAAGTTTAACTTTTGATTCGAAAGTTTAAGGCAAGTTCTTCTTCTATCTCTTTCCCTTTGATTCGTGTTTTTGTACATGCCTAGGAAATTCCAGGATTTATTAAACACATAAAATTAAATAATTATGCATGTTTAATTGAATTAGAATATAGGTTTTATGAAATTGGTTCATATTTGTTATTATGTTATGAATTGATGAATGCATGATTTTGATTTGATTTCCGGTGTGAATTTTTGTATGTTTACATTATATATTTTTCAAATCTGTGGAATGATGTAACGTAGAAACATGCCTAGGATTCCTGAACATTAAATAGGAACTAGGTTTGGGTTTAAATAAATTTAAATAGACTCAATCATAATGATGCTTGCTATTTGAATGTTTTAAACAAACGAATGGATTTAATCTTTTAAAATGTTTTAGCAATTAAGATTAAATGTGTATGATGAATTGGATATGGAGAATGCTTATTTGACGGTATAACAAAATATCATCATGTATAAGATTCAGTTTGTATAGGATATAAAATATAGGAAGCTTAAATAAATAATAAGTCATTCCTATTTTGTGATAACTTGATATCACATTATCATAGTTATTTCTGGATTGTTTGATGTATTTCCTTAATCGTTACATCAATTATTGGATTGTGTGGTTTAATGCATCGGTATGGGACGGTGGCATTCTAGGGATGGATTAACTTATCATTAAGTCCTACCTATTTTATATAAGGGAATGGATTAACTAAAATGTTAAGTCCTACTTATATTCAAGTCAGGTCAGCTGGACAAGTTGAATGACTTATGAATGATTAATTTATTATATAAGGGAATTGATTAACTAAAATGTTAAGTCCTACTTATATTCAAGTCAGGTCAGCTGAACAAGTTGAATGACTTATGGATGATTAATTTATACTGAATAGAATGGTTACTAGATTATATATATATAAGTATGGTGCCATGATATGAGCTTGAGTCTCAGGATCAGTGGTTAGGGCGCGTATATCACCAGAGATGTGTAGCTAGATATAGTGTAGTTGTGTACCCTGGTAGGTTTAGGTACTCATGCCCATTATATGTGCGTTTTGCATGTTGCCTACTATTCAGCTTGAGACAACCCTATAGTCTAGTGAGGTTCCTTTAGTGTGTATATATATATATACGGACTACTAGTTACTATT